CCCATCCCTCACTACATCCATCATTCAATCTGTTCATTTCACATCAAAACCAATGGATGGAAATTCCTAGAACTAAATTGTTATTGTTATTGTCCCTCATTTTAATGCAGTAGTCAAGCTCCATCACTTTCTTTTACTAAACCACATTATATTGAGAAAGGCAATATTTACAAAACTTATATTTTGTGAGTAGTATAATATACAGATCTTTGGTATAGCTGGCACTATCACAATCTGTTAAATAATAGCATTTTGAAAAGGAAATGAAGATGTTTCACCTTGTTTTCTTTCAACCCTAATTATTACATACTGATATGATTTAGGTCATGGGGCCCATAGTAATACTATATTATATCCAGAATCATGCTATATCAAGGTGCCTTATAATGAGGGAGAGCTGTATTTATGCCAGATGAATGTGATCATAAGTTCTAACGCCTGGGGTCTCTGGAAGGGAATTAAAGGGAATTCACCTAAATGATAGGATGCCTTTTTCTTAAAACTCTAAATAAGAGACATCAACCAGTCCAAATGACAACTTAGACAAATTTTGCTGTGTATATCATAAAATCTAAAAATATGGGTTCATTGCCATATCACATGCTACAGGTCAACCTTTTGTTGTGCAAATAAAGATATAACATACGAACACCCCCCACAAATATAAAATATATGAACTTCAAACATTTTATTTTAAAAGAAATAAAAACTGAATTCCAGTCTATTTGTTTACTGCTTTTCAATCTTTAAACCAGTTCATGATTTTATTCGTGAACTGAAAAGTTATGGGGGAAACTTTCCACACCATTTGAGAAAAAGGGGAGAATTTTCTAAACATAAGAGTGATTAATTACCACATGAAGACTGAGCTTCAAATTATTATGCATAATTTAAACATATTTTTTTATGTGAATTTTGAGTAATTAGCATGAATCTCCTAAACATCTGACTACTATGCAATGGACTGGACAAAATTAACGATACATGTATATTATTTAATATACTAAACATGACAACATCAATGCAATTTTAAAGACAGACTGATTTAATGGATTAACTGACCAAGGCCTAGGCCTGCTAAATTTAACAATCATTATGATGGTAATGATGGAGACATCCATTTCTATTTGCCAACACAGCAATAAAGTCTTTTTTGTCCCATAACTAATTTTTTCCACACAAGAAGCAAAATGCATAGGACATGTATTATATTTATTTAAATAAATATTCCTATGAAACTAGAGTTGAGCATTTTTATACCATTTTTACGTTACTTTATTCTAAATGCATTAAAAATGAAACTGATTGACAAAGTTAAAGCAAAGTTTGCCACTTCTGTATGAACTACACAAATGATGGCAATTAACTGTGAAATATAATAACTCCAGATTTATTCAAACCAAACTGTGAACTGTAAGCATCTCCATACCAACATACACGCAAGCACCTATATGATGCAAATTACCGAGAAAGTACAAAATCCAATCAAAGTCCATAACTCTATAAAATGCTATTGTAAAACAGAAAATCAAACTTGATCTACATCTTTTTAACATAAAGCATTAAAAAGATTTTGCATCCCTGAGTTTCTTTCAAATGCTACTGTCAAAAACAAAATTTATGGTGATTGTAATTGGACAAGACAGAAATGAAGTGATGGATGTAAATTGGTATCAAAAAATGCCCAAATAGATAAGGTACAGTGTTCACATTATTTTTTCCCCTTGGTGACCAAGATACTATCTTCATGGAGCCTCAACATTTTCACTCAAAAGTCCAAACATAATTACTGGTATTCCTCCATTTCTCATTATTATTCCTCAATATTTACAACATAAACAGTGTTTATTAAAAATTGTATTCATTAAAATGTTTGAGCATCCAGCCATTGACAGTAATGTATGAATCATGGACTTGTTGATTAGAAACCAGACACCATTACCCCAATAAATTATTTCTTCAGCTGACTAGACACCACTGAAGTAATTAAATGAAATATGTCCGAACTCTGCAATGCATGCAAATTCAATCTCATCACTACTACTGATTAATTTCCTTCCTGCTCTCAAGGTGTCTTGAGTCTAAATTCTCTTAATGATGTGAGGTTTTTTTCTTTTTTTAAAAAAGTTCTAAGTATCTGTATGATAACATTTAGTGGAACCTAAATTTGGCAAGACTTCAAAATTTCCCTAAATAACTTCATAATTTTAACTTAACAAGTACAGATTTATTAAATTATCTAACCAGATATGACTGAATTTTCCATCAAATATCTGACTCCTATTCAACTTTGGTAATTACTTATTACTAACTACTTAATCCCACTAATTAATAAATCAGAAATATGTAATCAAGCTCAACCAATCATATGCAAGATCAACTCATTAAGCTGTGTTGATCTTGCTCATTGTTAGAACTGTTCAAGATCTTATTAATATATAATCAGTAAGCCCACATTCTGATTTTGATCAAAATCATACTAGAAACATAGCTTCACGAGTTGTAACAATCATGTTCATGGACACATGATGGAATCATGGAATGCCATATCAAGGCCAGGTCAGCTAATAAAAAGGTAGGGGATGGACTTACAACTATACAAGGATTTCTTTGAGAAAAATGAGGGCTAAAATAACAGCTGATTCTTTTCAATACTCATGCACCTATCATTGGGGAGATATGGTACTCATTGTTTTATTTCTACATGCTCCATGAAATGGCTTTAACATCAATTTGCATCATAACATCAATTCATATCAGGAGGCCTGAGAACCCTCACCTCCTAACATTTGCCTTAAACACGAAAGCAATTGGCAAAGACATATGGGTCAGCTGATTTTGTTGCACTGCTGCTAACTGCATACCTTAAAGTAAATCAAAATAATTGTTTCAAGGTTAATCTATTCTTCTGTATCTATTTTACAGCACCTCAGCATCTTTCATCCAATATTCAAAAGCTTTCATGAGTAGATGCTATCAGACTCAGCCAAATTCTGTTTAACAGTTTTTGAGAAGTAATAGTTTAATTGATGTTTTTATTAACTGTTTCTACAGTCAAATCCATCCTGAAAGTCACCTCTATTAAGCAATCACATATCTTAAACAGTTTGTTGACATTCCATAAATCCTGCCATAAGATCTGCCCAGGACAGTTACCTTGGTTATGTAATAAGGAAAAGCACTTTACTTCACTTTTGCCTGGGCACTTAATAACATACTAGTGTTACTGTGTCATAAAACACCCCTAAAATTCCAAACAAATCTTCATTCATCTTTCCTTTTCAAAAGTTTTGTACCATGCTCAGAACACATATTCAAAATTCTTCAATTTTTACACCACAGAAATTGCAAGAATAATGGACTCCCTTAAAATATCTTGACTGATCAGTCATATAATTATATTAAAATATGACCGCTCAGGTGACCTAGAGGTTAGAGCACCTGCCTTGGATGTGGGAGGTCACAGGTTTGAACCCTGGTCAAATCATACAAAGACTTACAAAAATGATATTAACATTCGCCTGGCTATGTACTGAGCATTAAGAGGTCAGTATTAGGACTGGTTGACCTGGTATGAGGATAATGTCACTGGGTGGGACATCATGCTACATGTCTTTGGCATGATGTCCCCCAGTGCTAGACATCACTACAAACTGCCAAAACTGTAAACATCATAGTGATATGATTGAAAAATTGTGAAATCTTACATTCAAATCACACCCTCACGTTAATATGAGACATTTGGTACAGCACAGCTTTCTGCTTAGATGTTTTCCACAATTTCATTATTTTTGATAAATTAAGGTATGGAAATCTGTATCCTGTCTTAGAATGAAATTAGTTGTCCCTACTACCTGATCTAATTAACTCTTTGTAGAATACAAGAAGTTGAGATAAATATTAGTTGTTCCTGCTATCTAGTCATCAACTCTGATTGGAATACAAGTTGGATGTTAATATATTTATCTGTATCTGCACATATTAGTTATCACTGCTATCAAGTGTAGTCAACTCTTATTGTAATACAAACCTGAAATTCTTATAAATTTGCTCATAATGTTTCAGTATCATTATGGTTGCAGATTACTGATCTGGTCTGGTGATTTATGGTAATGCAGCACAAGAAGGTTAATTACTGCCAAGTCAATTACAATAATGTGCTCTGCCAAGGACACACCAAGGTTGCTAACCCTGCCCAGTCTGATGCTTGGATTCAGACCAGCAACCTTTTGGTCTTGAGTCCCATATGCTAACCAATGAGCCACAGTATCTCTCACAAATTATTGGTAAGATGTATTAAATAACTTATGGTATATATGGCTTTTAATTTAAATCAAACAACAAATATCCAGGTCTGCCATCACATATAATGTGTCAGCAAATCAAGGTTTATGTAGTTCATACTACCAATTACTCCTAACAAACTGAACTAACCAAGATCTTCTGGCACATTATGCTATGGCAAATCTTGGTCTCTGGATTTTGCAGTTGAACTTGATCAATCAATAAGATCAATAAGTGTGTGTGTGTCTATATATATATATATATATATATATATATATATATATATATATATATATATATATATATATATACTGTATCTGCAGTTTGCTGGTATAATCAGTAGAACAAAGAACATAGACCCTAATCTGCAAGTGCATTATGCTAAGGCAGATCAGGATATTTGTTCTCTGCAATTGTGTGTGTTTGTGTGTGTGTGTGTGCATGTGCATTTGTGTGTATGTGTGTGTGTATGTGTGTGTTTGATTTAGATTTTTAATGTAGCTTTAAAACAATTTGTCATATCACTACAATGTCTGCAGTGTGACAGTTTATAGTGATGTCTAGCACTGGGGCATCATGCAGCAGACATGTGGCATGATGTCTCACCCAGTCACATTATCCTGACTGACAAAGGGCCTACTACCAGTCCTAACACTAACCTCATAATGCTGAGCACCAAGAGAGGCAGCTCTTTATACCATTTTTAAAGTCTGGTATGACTTGGCTGGGGTTCGAACCCACGACCTACCGTATCTGAGGCAGATGCTCAAACAACTAGGCCACCAGAGCAGTTTGACTCAACTTATGTGTGAGTATATATGATATTACATAAAATGTACTATTAATTAACTTTTTGTGTGCTAATTATTTTAATCATGAAAACAAGATCCTCTTCCCTTTTCCATTGATTTAAATAATGCCAAAATTGTCATATTTTTAAACAAAATATTTATAGCCATAAAATATTTTTATTTCCCAGTGATATTACATGAAATTGAATTCATTCATGACTTAGTTTCAACAGACAGGCAGTTTTATTGATTGGGAGACTTTTATCCACTGACACTGCATTCTGATTCAAATGTCAGACTGGTGTGAATTGCTTTTGCTTGAAGAAAATCAATAATTTGTACCAATCGTGAGATATATCAGACAATGCCTAGAAGTTTTCTGATAATGTAGTGTAGAAGTACAGGGCATAAAGAAGTAGCATAATTAGACAAGTCCAAAACATTTAAATTGTCACATGCCACTCAATGTAAATAATACAAGAAAAGAATGAAAAAAAGAATGATAAACCTTGGAGAGGTCAGCAACAATTGCTGTACACCCTTCCATTAGTCTTTTAAAATTTTAAGCAGAGCCCTAAGTGGGCCTGATAACATTCACATGACTTTCATAACATGACTATACCACTCAGCCCACTGATACAGAACACAGCCCTATGTAGAAAATTTCCCAATCACAGCAATTTCACTCACAGAGCCATAGTCTATACAATTTCTTTCCAAGGATAAAGATATAATCAAACTCATCCAAGATCTTGAAAACATGAACCTTTTAGAAAGTGTTTTTGTACAATTTGGTAAGAAATACAATTTCTTTCCAAGGATAAAGATATAATCAAACTCATCCAAGATCTTGAAAACATGAACCTTTTAGAAAGTGTTTTAGTACAATTTGGTAAGAAATAATATCTAGAGGTGTAGTAATCACAACCAATCACAGGCAAGATCACCTCATTAATATGCATAGATCTTGTTATTAAACATGTTATATCACTTATAACAAAAGATCATGTTACTGTGAGCCTATTTACCAGATGTACTCGCTTGTGTATCAACTGCAAACGACATTGATCATAATGTGTCATATCATGATACACTCATAACAAACTATACAGAGCCAGATATGCCATCACATTATGTGATAACAGATCTGGGTCTATGCAGTTTGCAGTTTGATAACTGAGTACACATGATAAATCCTATTCAGAAGGCTCTAGATGATATAAACTCAGTCAATGAGATACAGTATCGCCTCATTAATATATACACAGATCTTGCTCATACTAAACTCATTCAACATAATTTTAGTCTTTTTACCAAGTTTCATCAATTTCTGGTAAAATAAAATGTAGACTATCACTTGATATGACATTCTGCCAATCAGATGCAATATCACATCATTAATAATCAAATATCTCACTCCTAATAAAATAAGTTGGACATCTTAATGACATAAACTAAAACCATTTACAAAGTTTGATCATAAAGACTATTTACAAAGTTTGATCATAATTAGATTAAATATCTAGAGTGGCAGCAACTTCAACTACTCAGATGTATGATAGAAGTAATGAATCTGACTATAATTATACTCAACTTAAAATTTATGATATATTCCAAGTTTTAGCGCACTCAAACAAGAATGTGACATACCAATCAGTCACAAGCTTTATCCAATTGCAAAATCATATCACAAACACATGTTCAGATGCAAGATCACTCATTTGCAATTTTGATAATATAAGCCTGTTTCCGACCCTGATCAAAATTAGATTAGAAACTATGGGTTCCAGAATGGTAATAAGATCAGCCAATTAATATGCATCAATCTCAGACCGCTCTGGTGGCCTAGTGGTTAGAGAATCTGCCTTGGGTGCAGGAGGTCATGAGATCAAACACCAGCCAAGTCATACCAAAGACTTGTAAAAAAAATGGTACTAACAGCTGTTTTACTAGATGCTCAGCAATAAGAGGTTAGTGTTAGGACTGGTCAGCCTGGTGTCAGGATAATGTGTCTGGGTGGGACATCATGCTTCATGGCTGCAGCATGATTCCTCAGTGCTAGACATCACCATAAACTGTCACACTGCAACATCAAAGCCACATATGTGTGCACACTGCCTCAGTCTCACTCATCAACAAACTTGTCAGAGATCTTGATAATATCAACCTATATTTTAAGTTTGATATAAATTAGATAAGAAATATTATCAGTGGTAACAAGCCACTGTGGTGAAGTTATATTGCAGAAAGAATGAGGACAAGTAATCAGGAAGCCTTAACTCAACTAAACAAGGCTCAACCCATACAAGTAAATGTAAGTCTTTGAGACAATATAATTGCATTAGAATATCCTGAACTATGCTTGTTACAATAAGCATCTCATGTCAAGATATTATATATATATATATATATATATATATATATATATATATATATATATATATATATATATATATATATATTCTATGTACATGATTCATACAAAGGACTATGGAAACAGACAAGTGTAACACAGAAGAAAGCCAAATCAAATGCAACCTAGATAAAAAGCAAAACAACAAGATTTATATTATACCTGTCTTTTATCCAGAACTTCTGTTTTGTTCTATTCATTATATTCTCAGATTCAAAACCTTCCTGACAGGTTTTTGCCTAATTTTTATAAATTAATTTTCTAAAGATTTCACCTTAATTATCCAATATTTCCTTCTATTTTGTCCTTACATGTACAGTGCACCATGTGAAAATTTCCCAATCTACTTGTGTCTAACTTGCTTCTAATCCTAATAACATATTTAAAAAGATCAATGTAACAACAGACATTTTGGAACTGCATTGCTTTTAGCATATTATGCCAAAAATAGAGAAATTGCACATAAATTTTCTTGGGGTCAGAAACTGGATGCTATTAAGGTGAATATTTCTAACTATATTTGTTAACAAGGAAAATTACAGTATAGCCTGATTACAATTATTCCTATAACCATAATGTCCTATTGCAAGAGAAATAATATGGTTTCAATGCACAGTTTGGGAGCAATTTTGAAATCATGGTCAGTTCCTGTTTGAAGGAAATAGACTGGATTAATTTTGCATCCTGTTCCCTGGCTTGTAAATATAATGAAAGTAATCCTGAACCATTGATCCAGTCCATCAATACCAGAAAGATTTATTGCTCTTCTCTGCACTACAGTATTTTTCTCTACAATCCCAATCCCCAACCGAAACCCAGGCTTAGAAATCCACAACACGGTGAAATTGAACAGAGTTGCTTCCTTCATTCATGTATCCATGTCTGGATGGATGGCAAGTCCTCAAAAAGAATGAGGCTAATTATTGCCATTTTGGTAATGCTCTAAACTAATTTAACTAAAACCAGACTTAAAATTCAAACTGCAAATGGTATCATGGCAGGATTGTAAAGCTTTGTTTTATCGGAATTATATAATACTTCTTATGATGCATCCAGTGTATCAAGTAACAAGCTAGATGCAAATTTTAAGTTAGCTCAATGTGAAATATCAGTCACAGTGACTTGGTTTTGTGAAAATGTTTATTAAAAGTAAAGTGTCCATTAAATGTCAAATCTACTAATATTATCACAATAAACCTTTACAACACTTCAGTCAAACCAGATGATATCTATTATCTAATTTTGAAACATCTGACCATTACATCCCTCAATACACAACAAAGCATTTTCAATACAATTCAGGAAAGTGGCCATCATGGTAAGAAGAAACAGTGATAACCAGTACAGAAACCTAGAAAGGACAAAACTGATTCTTGCAAATATCATCCCATATCAATAACAAGTTGTATTTCAATCCATGGTAGGAATGATAAATGACAGACATCTTCAGTAGCTCTAGTCTAACAAAACTATTATGATCAAACTTTCAATGTGGATTCAGATGGCACCAAACCACAAATGAAAAACTTGTCAGCCCTGAAGCATTTACTGTGATAATACAACTAACCATTTAGTCAGACTTGAAACATTTACTGTGAAAACACAACATCTCATCTTGTCAGACTTGCAACATTTACTGTTAAAAAATTTTTAAATTCCTTCATTAAACATGTTCATCTTTTTCATGAACAAGCTAGACAATGAAATTCAAAGTCACATCATTGATTTTCAGAGAAAAGTGTACACATACCATTACAATGAACCATATTCTTGTAGGTTACTTGGTTTAGGTTGTTTCAAGGTTTTGTTACCTTCATGAAAGTTTGAGAACAAGTGATATTAATCTATTACAATTTAATTTGCAACTTGAGTTCTATACTACTACATCAACTTTGATGCTCAAGTAATAAATACAAAATTACTCCTGGTTTGTGTCCTTCTTTACTTCCCAAATCACAAATTACATTCATTTATGAAAACCACTAATCAATAAATCATTATGTAAGCCAATAAAATCTGCAAAATGCAGAGAAACATGAAAGCATTCAAGTTCAAGAAAGTGAAAAGTCAATCATACTGCACCTTGTTTAAGTGTGCATATACTTTAATGAGATTATTAGCTATTTATCCATGAAAATATCCAACATAACATATTGATCATAAATGCACTGTATTATCAAATGTTTGAAACTTTTCCATACTGAATAGATTAATATCAAAGCGATTCATTTGCATGATTTAATTATTTTGTGAATAAAAAAGTTAACACTACATTTTTTTATTTTATGCATCACAGGTACTTTTCAATATTCTATTGATCAAACAGAAAACAGAAGCATTGTTATCACTAATTATGTTGTATACATTGTTATCACTAATTATGTTGTATACATTGTTATCACTAATTATGTTGTATACATTGTTATCAGTAATTATGTTGTATACATTGTTATCACTAATTATGTTGAATAAAATTATCACTAATTATGTTGTATACATTATCACTAATTATGTTGTATACATTGTTATCACTAATTATGTTGTATACATTATCACTAATTATGTTGTATACATTATCACTAATTATGTTGTATACATTATCACTAATTATGTTGTATACATTATCACTAATTATGTTGTATACATTGTTATCACTAATTATGTTGTATACATTATCACTAATTATGTTGTATACATTATCACTAATTATGTTGTATACATTGTTATCACTAATTATGTTGTATACATTGTTATCACTAATTATGTTGTATACATTATCATTAATTATGTTGTATACATTATCACTAATTATGTTGTATACATTGTTATCAGTAATTATGTTGTATACATTATCACTAATTATGTTGTATACATTGTTATCACTAATTATGTTGAATAAAATTATCACTAATTATGTTGTATACATTATCACTAATTATGTTGTATACATTGTTATCACTAATTATGTTGTATACATTATCACTAATTATGTTGTATACATTGTTATCAGTAATTATGTTGTATACATTGTTATCACTAATTATGTTGTATACATTATCACTAATTATGTTGTATACATTATCACTAATTATGTTGTATACATTATCACTAATTATGTTGTATACATTATCACTAATTATGTTGTATACATTGTTATCTCTAATTATGTTGTATACATTTTTATTATTAATTATATTGTATACATTGTTATCACTAATTACAAATTATGTTGCATACACTGTTATCACTAATTATGTTGTATACAATGTTATCACTAAGTAAGTTGTATACATTGTTATTAATGATTATGCTGGATAAATTGCTATTATTAATTATTGTTATTACTAATTATTTTATATACACTGTTATCACTAATTTTGTTGGATAGTGTTATCACTAATTATGTTGTATACATTTTTTTACTAATCATGTTGGATACATTATCACTAATTATAAGGTAGGCATATAAATAACTGATGAATAAAGAATATGCAGACCAGTCCGCACTTTCTTAACAGAACTGTTCATATATTTAAGTGATGGAAGCGTTGTTTCAAATGACTTCTTTGCTGTCATTTATATAGTTTTAGCAATTAATCCCTAATTATCAAGAGCTGTAAGTTTTGAAGGCAGTCTTAAAAACACTGAAATGCTTAATTGCAATCTTAATTACATCAGTGGAACTTTCATTACCCTTGTTTTCTTCTACATATATGCAGAAGATTCTCAGCATTTTCCTTGATTAAGACCTCCTCATTTTTCCTAAAAATTAGCAATAATTCACCTAATTACCCAATTACTGAAGTAAGGTTTAAGCTTTTGGTTAAGTGAATGACAGCTCCATACCTGCTAAACTATGGCATGTCACACAAACATTTTTAGCGACTAAACTCCACAACATATCAGATTCCCTCTAAAACATTAATGAAAAAAGTAAAGTGGTTCAGTGCATTATCAAACACTGCAAAGTATGTCTTATTCAAAAGAATATAATGATTTTGGATCATTTTTAGAATTCTTTAATGCTTCCAGCAGAGTATAAACACTAAAAAGGTTTATTGAACAATTTATTTCATACAATGTTTCATAAAGTGTCATTTTACTGGCAAAATTAAGAAAGAAGAATGTAGCTTAATAACAGGGAGAGTATGGTAAAGAGCAGTTTGGAACAATGATCTGGAAAATGAACATCAAAGACAAAATCCAGTATGAAATAAGTTACTTTTTACTTGATTTTGGGCGTAAAAATAAAATAAAACCATGAATTAAAGAGAAATTTAAAGAATGATTGCATTGATAGAGTCAGAGATATAAAACAGCAGCATAGCTAGATTGCTGTGACTTGTTTGTTATTGTGTAAAGACCAAAAGATTTGGATATTACAGTCAATTTGTAAAATCTATAATTATTTTTCCATAAATTTAAATTTACTGCAATATATAGAAGATTTTAGATCCAATTTATGATAAATGGTAAACAAATATTGGATAGAAG